ATAGACAGTATTCAGCAACATGAGGTCAAAGGTCAAAACACTGTGACTTTGTCAGTGTGAATTTCACACACTTCATGGAGCTTTTGTGATGCGCACGGCTTGAAGGCATCTGAGAGCAGCGGTGTTGTGTCCTACACACAGCTGGTGGGGACACACATGTCAAAACCTCCCGTTTCATGAATCAAATCAAATCTCTTTGTCATTGTACCTATTGTTACAATGACAATGATTGCACCCCCTCGGTGCCAATACATTAAAAGAACTCAAGATAAATAAGTAAGCAAAAACAAATAAATAAATATATAAAACATCCCTCACATTCTGCATTAATAGATGACCTTAACATTTCTATTGATTCTATAAAACTGCATTTAGAGCTGTTATAATCTGGGGTAGAAACGATTTCTATTTGTCCGAGTTTTTATTGTCCTGTACCGTATTGCCTGATTGCAACAGTTTAAATAATGAGTGACTGGGATGGGATGAGTCTTTAAGAATATTTTGAGCTTTTTTAAAGCAGTGTGAGCTGTAGAGTTCTTCCAGTGAGGGGAGTGGGCAGCGGTGATGACCCTCTGGGGTGCTTTCCTATCTGCCACTGTGCCGCTGGCAAACCAAACACAGATACAGTATATTAGAATACTTTCTATGGAACATTGATGGGAGGACACCAGCAGTTCTCCAGGAAGTTGTTGTTTCTCAAATAATCTAAGGAAATACAGTCTCTGCTGGGCCTTTTTAAGCACAGAGGTATCGGCACTCCATGTCAAGTCCTCCTCTGTGGTAACCTCCAGGAACCGGAAGTCTGGCACCCTCTCCATGCAGTCCCCGCTGATAACCAGGGGGCTGTCTGTTCTGTTCCTCCTGTAATCTACTAGCAGCTCTTTAGTCTTGGTAATGTTGAGGACCAGATTATTGTCTCTACACCATACAGACAGCCGCTCCACATCTTCCCAAAAGGCCGACTCATCCCTCCCAGAGATGTGTCCCACCACTGTTGTATCATCTGCAAATTTGATGATGGTGTTGCTGGGTGCAGTCGTAAGTGTAGAGGGTGTAGAATAGGGGGCTCTACACACAGCCCTGTGGGGAACCGGTGTAGAGGACAAGGGCTGAGGAGATGTAAATACCCACTCTGACCCTCTGGGAGCAGCCGGACAAGAAGTTCATAATCCACAGGCAGAATGGGTATGGTATCCTGAGGTCCTTGAGTTTGGACACCAGTCTGTGTGGAAGGATTGTGTTAAATGTGGAGCTGAAGCCTACAAAGAGCATCCTCACATAAGATGGGTCAGAGCAGTGTGGAGAGTGGTAACTATGAATAGACTCAAACCTAGGAACTAAACCACAGTTTACACAAAAAAATTTCCATCACAAAAAGAGGTGAATGCTTGAGAGAAACAGAGATGCAGCTCCTGACGTGGAGCAAAACAGACGTCTGTCCTTACTGTGGGAGCAGCACTTCATTAGTGAAGACTGTGATACGTTAGTCTCTGACAGACGGTTATCAGCTGTACACTGTGGAATGTGCATTTTACTGTGGTGCCTCTGGAGATAAACACTCATCTTAATACTTTAAGTGAAGGATTTGAGTGCTTTTTCCATCACTAAGCACAAATGCCATCACCTTGAACCCTCCCTCAGTGATCACTGCCAATTCTTCAATGTCCACTGCAAGTAACTGGTACAGTAAGTGCATTGACACAGCACTTGGCAACATGAAGCCTCATTTTCAGTTCCTCCAAATAGCAGAGCTGCGAGGACGAGAAGAGATAAAGAGAAATGATACTTAAAATTGCAGGGTAAACAGAAAGGCCGAAGATATAAAGTGGAAGGATGGCAGATGGCCGATGGAACTGGTTTTTACCACAGGAAAGGAGCCAAATAAAAGAAGATAAATATTATTATCGTCTTAAAACTCAGAAATAGCACTGGCACTGGAAAAGCTTTCAGTGTGAGAAGGGGCTGAAAGTTTGATCTCAACAGCCTGCCCAGTATCATATAGCACACAGTAAGACAGGACTTTACACTGACAATCATTTCCTGTAGACTTAAGCTAAGCTTAAACCAAGAACTTCACCTTAAAACATGATTTTATTTCTAGTCATGAACCTAAATATCTGAGTTTCAAATATCAACCTAATGATGGCGCTAGATGAAGGAACATTCCTTTGCTTGATTGCACATGACTTCTTTACTTCTGTTCTCAGCCTTATATTGGTTACTTGCCCACTGCTGCCTTACATAAGGCCATGTACATGTACATGTACGCATCGAGAGCCGAGGTACCAGAGTCAAATTCCCCGTGTGTCCAACACAATCATACCTAATTTTACCTGTGCACATATTACACACATCAATTGTGATTATTCAACAAGAATATCCGTTCGTTGAATGATGATAATCACTATTTGATCAAGTATGTCACACACACAAGAAATTTGTCTCCGGTACAGAACCGATGCAGCCATCTGTGGCGTCAGCTCACACACACACACACACATCTTTGGCGGTGCCGTCCCATGCAGGGTGCTGCTCTTGCCATCAGTGGCAACTTGGACTTCAGTGTCTTGTCCAAGGACACTGACATATGGACTGTGAACCAAACCTCCAGCCACATGGTTTGGAGATGACGCTCTACCCCCTGAGTTGCAGCTGCCTAAAGTAGAAATACATGGCACTGAAACAGGAATTTCATTGTTAGCCTCAAAGGAACAAGAAGATTGAAGTTGACACAACTCTTGTATAAACTTGTAAACCTTAGTCAACAAAAATTGTTAAAAGTAGAGAGAACTAAAAAATCTACAGCATTGTGTTGCCTTGATATTTTACATTTTCTCAGCAATTTTTTTTTTCTACAGTGTCAGATTTATGCACTCATTTGCAAATCTACATGTATTTACAGCTGAGGTGAGAATGTCCAGACGGGCAGTTCTCCTCACATTTGCAAAAATATTTCCACAGTAAAGGCCTCACAGAGATATGAGGCTTTAAAATCATAGCGCGATATGTTAATTTTGAAGTGACTTAACACATAATTATAGGATCATTTTGTAAAAGCTTCCACATAAAGATCATCATATCTGTGAGGGGTCTGAGCTGGGAGGTGTGAATTACAGCAGCCTCCCTGTCCACATCCTCACACATCAGACATGTAAGAGCAGGTTAGTGTTGCAGATGTTTTACTCAACTTTGAAGTGTGTGAATACACACTAACAGAGTTGTGTGTGATGTTTAAAATTAGACCACAGATTGAAGCCACTCCTTTTCTGTATGTATAATATGATGGTGCTAAACAAGACGAGTCACTGACTTTGACCATAAGCGGATTTATTGTTCTTGCTCTGTGTGCGGTGTTACAGTATAATATGATGGTGCTAAACAAGACTAGTCACTGACTTTGACCATAAGCGGATTTATTGTTCTTGCTCTGTGTGCGGTGTTACATAAACATGTAGTGATGTGCGTCCTTTGGTGGACTGGTCATACACATGGACATATTCAGGTTTCTACTCTGAAGAGTTCGGTCTGAGCTGAAAAAAAGTGATTGCTGAGTTTGTAAACGGAGCCAAAACACACATCCAAGCCCAGTCAGAACTTCACAATGGAAAACATTTTCAGTTCATTTGGCACTCTATGTACGTATGTACCTAATGTTCTTTTCATACACTCACTCAGTGACACTCACATGCACAAAGTCCAACAACCTGCCCTCCCTCGCCGCAGCTCACCCCTCCTAATGTGTCCTGCCACCAGATTTGCTCTGTGACGGTTCACACTCTGCATCTTCATGCAGGAACAGCGACTGGAGATTTATGACCATGGCCATGATCTTGAGGCTTCTCAGTGTTTCCAACCCATCCCACAGCTGGTAGGGTGGACACAGTGTGTTTTTATGTGTGAAAAGACCAAAACCAACAAAGAACTGACAACTACTGATGCATCTTATTCTCCTGTAATGCAGAACCATTAAACACATGAGTGAGGTGATATGTGGCTTCACTGTGACAACTACACCACAAACGCTGCAGTTTATTTTGAGTTAGTCCCACAAACACTGTCCCGGTTCTGTAAATGCTGCGACTAATTATCGTCATTAGTAAACACAAGGACACCTTCACTTAACCCGTTCCACCCAACTGGTAGTCAAACACCCACAGATTTACGAGACAAATTCGAGAAGCTGGGACCAGAAAATGACTGTTTTTACTTGAACAAAATGAAAATAATTAATTTTGACTAATTGACTAATCAGTTTATCAATTAAATGTTTACTTCAAATACACCATAGAGCAGTGATTCCCAAACAGAGGTACTTGTACCTGAGGGAATACTGCAGTTTTTTTTGTTTTGTTGTAAAAATAGAAATAATTTGATGAAATACATCCACATATTTGGGGTCTAAGACACTGTAACTAGTTAGAAAAAAGCAAAAATAAAGAATGAGATAAATATCCGGTATCTGTCCCTCCAATGGTGGTAGCACAGAGACAGATTTGACTGGCTAGGGAAAAAGAGAAAAGAGGTAAAAGGGCAACTGGACCTGTCTGAGGAGTGTGATCTACGAATCCATTTGATAGGGCAGGGATTCACTGCCCTGCAGTACTGAATGTGCATCAGTCCACTGGGGAAAATAGTCTCCATCACATTACTAACTTTGTGTCTCCTCTCTCCCTTAGTGTGTCCTCTCTCTCTCCCTGTACCTTTCTGCAGGTTGCCCTGGCCCTGGAGCTCTATGTCTCTGACGAGCAGTCCCCAGCCACATCGACCTGATCAGTGTTTGATTGTTGTGTCTTGTTGCTTTTCTTCTTTTGTCTCTCCTCTATCCACTCACCCCAACCGGTCGAGGCAGAAGGCCGCCCACCAAAAGCCGGGGTCTGTCAGAGGTTTCTTCCGTTAAAGGGAGTTTTTCCTCCCCACTGTCGCCAAGTGCTTGCTCAAGGGGGATTTGTTGGGTTTTCCCTATGTAATAATATTGATAACAGTAAGGTCTAGACCTTACTTTGTAAAGTGTCCTGAGATGACTTTTGTTGTGATTTGGCGCTATACAGGTAAAATTTGATTTGATTTGAACAAACTCACTGCTTCCTCCTACTTAACAGCAGTGCCTGGCTGTTTTAGAAAGTTGCTTAGCCTTTTCTAAACATGGAGCCTCGTATTTTTGACAAAATTTTAAAGAGTTATATAATCAGCGGGAACAAACGAGCTTATATCTAAGTGCCACAGACACGGCAGTGAAATCTGATATTGAGAGACTGGCACCTTTGTCGTTTTTGGTCTTTTCACGGGATTGTTGACATTGGTATCTGCGATTTGGATTACAGGAATGGAGTTCAACTGGAGAATAAAACACAGACACCATAATTTTTTTTTTTAAATCTTTAGGATACTTGACTTTTATATTCTTTGTGCAAAATGAGGGTAAGATGTCTTTTGCTTAGTAAAGTTAGTAGTACCAAAATGTCACCAAAGCCACCCTCAGAAGCATGTGCTTCTTAAGAACCATATACATTTGAAATTATCTGGTGTGGAGTGAAATTCAGCATCTTCATAGTCCTGCTGGCTGCAGAGTTTCTACTGAGAAAGGCCTTTTTAGCATTCATAAAAATATACAAATATAAACCAATGTCTTGCCTGCTTTGTACAAAGACTGACTGCTGGTGTTATCTGGTTGGAGTTACGGTTGCCAGAATATTTCTCTTGTGGAACTGCAAACAAATTCACTGCTAACGCTACTTTCTGTTTCTCACTCTCTAAATCAAACCAAAGAGTCACTACTTCATCGCTGTCTCTGCTCTCAGACAGACACACAGATGAAGAAAAATAAGTCACGTCATTTCTCTGTGGTGGGCTCCAACTTCTTGCATAAAGACAAAAAGGCCACAGGATCCTCCCTCAGATGCAGTCTAGCTCATTTCACTTGTGTTATTGGTTGTGCGTTGTGCAGAGGGTTGAGAGTGTATTCAGTCCGCCATCTGCCTCCACCCCGTCCTCCAGGAATCTGCTCATTGGACCGGTCCTGCCGCGCCCTGTGCTGAGGGATCAGTGGACCCCTCCATTGTAGGACCTCCCGTACATGTTGAAATCTGTTTCTACAAAATGTGTAGAGACAGGCTGCTTGTACAGAGGGTTGGAGGCCTGAGGGCGAGACAGAGAACAACAGGAAGCATGTGAGAATAAGTCTGGTGCAAGTACAAAGCAAAGGTTACTGGTAGTGGGGTCACCTTACCATCTCGTATCGGGCACGTGAGCGTGCACTCTGAAAGCGTGCAAACTCTCGCCGGTCATGAACGGTGATGACCAACTTCCAGGCAGCGAGCAGTGCCACTCCCACCAGCAGGATGCTGCCGACCACTGCCAGCAGCACCATCATGGCGTCTGGCCCACCGCCACACTCTGACACAGGAAGAGGCAAAGTCAGGCAGTGCTGGACACAGAGGATGCACAACGACCAGCGCGAGCAGTGCATGGGCAGTGTGGCATTTTCCTGACCCAGATGTTCACTGTCTGTCTGTGTGGCAGTTCGATGCACAGCACACAGTTCACACAAGTGGTCGGTGGATAACACAGTGAGACTTAAAATATAAATTAACTTTTAACAAAACACCTCAAGCCAGTGGACGCATTTAAATGGGTTTATTGTGATTAAAATGGGAATATCAGTAAATCTGTTTGCTTTTATCCATTGTTTAATACGAGTGCTTCTAAACAGTATCTGGTGTGTTGAGCTGCTTTGGCTTCATTAAATCCCTGCAGTGATCTGAATTTAAAAACCCCTTACACACTGCCTTCTTGAGGCGGGACTGGCGCACCTTTCTTCTGTCTCATTTTCTGTGCAAGGCCCAAAGCTGGAATGGTGGCCCATTTTTGTTCCACCTCTGGTCTGCATGCCTCTCTGCCTCAAACTGATCTCGGTTTCTCTCTAACTTACAGGTCAAAGCATTCCTGACGTCATGAATGTGCTGAATGCAGTTATTACTCATGACATTAGCACAAATAGCAAGAAGCATGCTAACCAATTTTGCGTGAAGTGGAAAAAAAAATGCTTCAAGAGCCAACAGAGCTACATCTGCACTTATGTCTGCCGCAATTCTTGTTTTGGTTTGTAGATTACTGGTGCAAAATTTATATTAAATTTAAATGTTGTGTCCCGACTCTGGTGCAGAATGTCAGCCTGCTGTCTGAATTCACAGACTGGCTCACAATTATACTGCCCTTAGCTCGATCTGTACGAACAGCACAAGGGGGGATATTGGCGACCCTTTGGAACGGCAGTGGTGTGAGATCTCAGTGTAAAAACAACTAAAGTCTAAGATAAACCAGTGCCAGGACACATGACTTTTCACAGGGTTTACCTTCATTAAACCGTGAAAATAATATCAGGCTGCTACAAAATAAGCACACACACACACCACACTGGTCTGTTGTAACCCGTGTATGTACAGTAGCAATTAGTAGGCCTCATTAATACTGTGCATCATTTACAGTTATTTTTTTTTTTTCAACATTTCACTTCATTTTATTCTTGAAATGTTTTTATTACACTGCAAATTTTATGATGTCGTGTGACAATTTCCAACACGAGAGCAGCCACTGATGAGAATAATCTCAACCAAAAGCAACGATGGTCAAAATGAAGACAATGAGACTGAAGTCGGAATAAACTGGAATTCTTCTTTGCTTTGTCTGTAGAGTCATGTGATGCCTCCAATTCCAAAAGTCCTTACTCAGTTAAGCCTGTTCATCAGGTTTGCACTTAATCCTCAAATGCAAAAACATTTCAGGTTACAAGCAGGTTTAGCCTGACCAAATCATCTTTAAAAGTGATTCATGCACTATAACTACATCCTAAAGGCACCTGATTTCTTAGCACGTGTCCAACTCTGAGCTAAAGCTCGGTGTGGTTGTACAGGACAGAACAGTTAAGGCGCTGCTTGTCTGAAACACTGACCTGGCTCTTTCAGAGCTGTGAGGACGGACTGTCCACTGGCGTGCTCCAAATATGTGAACTTCATGACACAGTCGTCGTCTGTCTTATAGAGACACAGCACAGCACCAGGCTCGTCCGTTTCTGCAGGGGAGAACAGAGCAACACCGTGGGCGTCAGCCAATTCAAACAAAGAGTACAGCATCAGTTTTATGTCTCAGTCATCTTATTTATTCTTACATTCAAAATGGTTTAATAAAACAAAAGGAAACAAGAAAATAACCTCCATAAAAACTTTAGTTCTAGTTAATAAAAATAAATCACTAAACCAAATGACAGGAACATAGCAGCCTATCGGTCCAGTCTGATACCTGATGGAAATTCATCAGCTTATTTTTGTATCTTTAGGTTTCTTTGCTTTTTATGATCATTTAGGGAAAAGATTCGTCCAACTGGACAAGAGACGATCTATATTTCACAGTTTTATTAGTTTTGTGTTTTGAAAGAGGGATCACATCATCCTCATTATTACCTACCAAGAACTGGCTTCAAGGGAAAAAAAAAAATAATGGAGGGGGGAAATGAGATAAAATCAAAAACATAAATCTCACTCAGAGGGAAAAACAGGAAACAGTTTCGAACTTTTGTCACATGGTCCGAATTTCTCTGCTGTGAAATCACAACAGAGTTAGAACAAATGCATTCCCTGGCTGAGATACTGATACTCAGGATGCCCTCGCTTTTGGCCCCTCTTCACCACCCAAAACACTCTCAAAAGCTCACAAGAGGGGGTGAGGCCAGGGTGCCCTGGCCCACCTCCCTTCATCTATATCATGCACAAGGCATGTGGAATGCACATGTGGAGCTCATTAAGGCCAGTCTGATGGCTGAATGCAATGAAACATGCTGGATCTGGGCCAGGGCCATGCTGCGACAATGTGGAATGGTCTTACTGTATAACTCTACAACTGAACACACAACTGTCAGTCTTCTCTCTGCAAAACCATGCAGCACCTCAGCACTGGGAAGGCCATAAACCTTTGTGCACTGCCTCCCACCACTTTCAAGTATATTATAGACTGAGGCACTGAACCTAGAGTTCAGTTTGTGCTGGTAGAAGTGCTGGGAGTATTCACCCCAGAGGACGCAGGGCAGAAGGTCTGCATAGGATTTTATACATCCTATGGATTGAATGAATGAAACACTTTGAACAACATGAGAGTTTTTGGCCATGGGTGACTGAAGGTGTCTGTGCAGATGTGACGCCTGCCGCAGAACAAACATGACAACATGGCTGACTAATGTGCACTGGGTGTACTTTTAGTAGCAATCAGGAAGGTGTGTGTGCGAATCTTACACAAGAGAAAAAAAGAGGCAGAGAAGCCATAAACAAGAGCTGAAGAGGGCTGCACCCAGAGTCAGCTTGTTAGTCAAAGCACTGCCTACTGATGCAGATTATACATTAGTATATCATAACATCATTCAGTTAAAACTCTATGTAATCCAAGACAATTTTCTACTGGTCAGCAGGTATTAGCTAAACTCAAACAGGGAGATTTAGTGGAATAATTACTGCATTAACATGTTACCTTGTAACACATTTTCTTGTTATTATTCCATTGTCTGTGTGTGAATATTTAATATATGATTCTTCATGGAGTGGTGGGCTTCGACAGGCTGCTAGGCTGATGTATGTTTATTGTATTGTGGCAGGGCCCATCGATAACAGTATTGAAAGGTCCAATAAAAAGTGACAGTCAAGGAGCTATGTACAGTGAAACTGCCTTTCTGCAGCCGGCTAGACTGTGTGCATGTCTGTGCGCTTGTGCTGACTCACTGAGGGTCTCCACGGTGATGATTTCATCCTTGCACAGGCGCTGGCAGGTCTGGTTGTCTGCAAGATGCCCTGATTTGAACAGCCGGCACTCGATACAGTCCCTGAAGCAGAGGAGAGCAAGTTTAATGCAAAAGCAAAACATAGTACAACCTTTACAAAGTGCTTCTTCTATCTTTAATAACAAGACAAAGCACTCACAGAGCTCAATCTACAACAACTTTTGAACACTTCTAGATTTGTTGATTTAGTGTTGCTTGCTCTTTTAGCCTATGGGTGCATCAGCTGTTAGAAATGCCCCACTGCACTCCTTTCAAACACTGGGAGAATGCCTCTCCAGAAAGCTGTAAACAGCTCTGCAGCAGGTGAACTATACAACACACAAAACAAGTAAATGGGGAATTTCACTCACTGATGTTTCAGTGCTTTCATCGATGAGCAATGCTGGCGCGGGCCTAAACTGTAACTGAAGTTCATTATTTTATAAGATAAAGGGAGGCGTCCAACTGCCGGCCAAAGCTTTTAGCCACATCAGACAATCTACACAACCCTATAAGAAATGCTGTCAGAGGCCCACAAAAGGCAGCGATGCATTCTGCATCTTCCTAAGGCACAACTGTGAAACATTTAAACAGCTTTACTAATTTCAGTGACTGTGGATTACATGTCTGCTATGCAGCTGTATTATGTTGGGATGAAAGTGTCTAAAAACTAAAAAACTGCTAATCTGTTAGTCGCCATAGATGCAGAGGCGTGCACAGCTGTAAATCTGCCCATCTAATGCTATCAGGTGAAGAATTCTGGCTCAGGTTTATTTAATTTTTCAAAAACCTTCTTACTGGACCTACAGTGACACACGCACATATGATAAAGCAGTGACGACCTGACACTGAACTCAAGTCTGGTCAAAGGTTGTTCCATAAAGACTGGCACTCCCTTGGAAAACCAGAGCCATGTGCATGTACAGAGGCCTGTTCAGAAGACGCAGCAGTCACTCTGCCCTCACAGATGACCGTTGTCTTTACTAGACGTCTGACAGGCTTTTAACCCCAACCTCCAAGAGCCTGTGCTGCCACACTGAGTGATGCAAGTTCAACAGGGCAACGGTTCCTTTTCTTAGGGTCACAAATGGCAGCGTTATCAGACTTTGTAATCAAAGCTTCGATAAGCCCAAAAGTGAGTGAGTTACGCAAACGTTTTGACTTCAGTTTGTGACTTGAGCTGACCTCTTCCCTGGCTGCCTGCCTCTCAGCACTAATGCAGACTCCCGAGGTCAAACCGCTGCACAGTTCGTTCTCTTAGCCACTCACCTCCTCCATCAAGTGGTGAATGGTGAAACATTACAAAAATACATATGTTAATGCCTGACTGGTTGTTAAACAACTGTGTCACTATTTGCTATGTGGAGTGCTCATTAAAGTGTGGCGTGCTCCTACAGTTAACTTTACCTTTTAGTGCCACAGGCATCAGGGCAGGTGGGGCATTTTTCACAGGTATCTCCAAAGGCGCCTGGCTCGATGCACTGGCAGCGACCGCACACACAGCTGCCTCGCCCACTGCACATTTGCCCATCGTCTGAAATGCAGGACGACGTCTCAGTGGAGCAGTCACAGTTGTCGCCAATGTAGCCAGCATGGCATTTACACTCCCCACAGTGGCACTCTCCATGACCTGGTCAAGAGGAAACCAAAATCAACACTGGGTTGATTTACCATCCAAAAATACTCGAGCAGATATTGAAAAAGTACCCACATATACTTGCATTAACACAGCACCAGAAAATAGTGAAGAATCCCTATTATAATTTCCACAAGACCAAGGTGACTTCATGTGCAACAAAGAGGTATTAAATGATCTCATCTAAGAAGCTAGAGGCAGCAAATGGTTGGCATTTTTGTCCACAAAAGAGTGAGCAGGCATGAGAACTACATGGACGTTTGTTTTACAGTAAAGAAGGAAAAAAGCAAAACTGCAGAACACAATCTGTAAAAGTTCGTAAATCAGATAAGGAAGATTCAACAACTGCAGAATCATTGTGGAAAAAAACACTACATGGCCAAAAGTATGTGAATACACACAATTGGACACAGTGTGACGTGCTGAAGCCACACACTAAGCTCAAAGCTCAGTTTCCTCCTGAGAGAAAAATCTGACCTTCCCCTGCAACAGTGAACAGCTGGAGCAGCTGCAGCTTTACATCAGCAAGCAGACTGCCCTTTCATACCACACCCATTAACTTGTTTTCTGTACTGGAATAAATCCAAGAAAAAGCAGCCTTCAGGAAGTTCACCAAGTCCTGCTGGGCTTTGTTGAGACTCTGATTTGTCTCGGTTGTCTCTGTGACTGCCCTCCTGCTACCACAGGCGAGGACAGCAGCTGTAATCAGGGAAGCATTGGTTGACAGGCGTATTTCACACCAAGACCCCCTGCCAAAAACCACAACCAGTAAGGTGCTATCAGTGCCGAGGGTACTGACACAACCCCAGACCATGACCTTTGTTGCTGGTAACAGTCTGAATGGTCCTTTTCATCTTTGGTCTGCACACAGCGTCCACTCCTTCCAAAAAATACTGATTCATCTGAGCACAGTGCACGGTTCCACTGTGTAATGATCCATCCCAGATGCCTCTGAGCCCAGAGGTGTTGGACACTGTTGACATAGGGCTTCCTTTTGTCACAGTACAGTTTTAAGCATCATTTATGGATGTAACTACGTATTGTAGTGCCCGACACAGGTGAGCCAAAGTCATCCTGAGCCCATGTGGTTATATCGCTTATAGAAGAGTGACGATTCTTGATGCAGTGCTGTGTGAGGGATCAGAGAGTATGAACATCCAGCTCAGGCTTGGCCCTCGGCCTTTACACATTGAAATGCCTCCAGATTCCTTGAACCTTTATATTATGTTCTGCGCCGTAGAGGGTGACATATCCAAATCCCTTCCTATCTTTCTCTGAGGAACATTGTTTTTAAACATTTCAATCATTTTCTCACACATATGTTGGCAAACTGGCGGTCCTCGGCCCATCTTTGCTCCTAAAGGGCTTGGCCTTTCCTGGATGCCACTTTTGTACCAAATCATGATGCAGTCACGTGTTGACATCACCTGTTTCAAATGGAATCATCATTTCATCGTTTTACCTCATTACTGGCCCTGAAATGCAGCCGGCCCAACTTTGGAATGTGTTGCTGCATTAGAACTGAAGTGAGTGTTTACTTTGAACAAAGAATAAAGTTGTAATTCTACGTTAATCAATACTGAAAATAATTGACAGTTGTAGCCGTACAAGAGTCTGATCTTAGACACTGCCAGTCACTGTGATAAGGGAAATGCTTCTAAGGAATTTTGTAAGAAAGTCTCACACTGTTTTGTACTGTATGTCCCACCTGTTGGAATAAGCAGATGAAAGAGTTATTTTTCAAACTACTGCCCTTTCAATGGCACTACTTAGAAATGCAAATGTAATGGCAGCTAAGAGAATTATGATCCAAAACGGTTTAGACTGAGGAGAAACAAATTAAACAACTGTTGTCTGTCCTCAAGTGGCTGCTGCTTCTGTCCAACATGTGCCCATGACAGTGAGAACAATCAGATTACGCTCAGACTTGGACACAATAGGGAAGGAAAACAGTGTATGATTAGACCCAGATCCTGAATGAGGTCACAAAGACTTGTGAACACGAAACATTTTGTCTAATCATCAGCCCAGTGGTCAGGGTTGTGCAACAGACTGTCTGGGTGAACAGACATGCAATAGATTCTTCCTACTTTTGTATAAATGCATTTGAAGTTATTCAGGGAATGATGCAGAACAGTGTATTTTAAGGTGAAAAAGCTGAGACTGATCAAATGAATCTTTTGTGGTACAGAGTCAGGAACGCCACTCCCTACCCTTCGGTCGGTGGCAGAGGATGAGTCACGGTACCAACCCTGTCCTAAATGAAGGCACTGCTGCTCAGACATCTAGAGGGCAGGAAGGGGAGTGTTTCCAGTGAGAGACTGAAGAGGATAAAATAAGTGCTGCTTCTTTGACATTATCGTTACTGCTCAAATCCTGATGAGCACACACGAGGTGTGCCATCTACAAACACTCCTCTGCTCATTATGCCTGTTTGCATGTCCAAATGGTTTCAAAGCCCTTTATTTTAGTGTTCTATGCCGTTTTTTGCTACTTTATACAACAACAGGTCAACAGACTTCACCATCACTTTTACCACCACTGCTGTTTCCAGATGACTTCAGCAAAATGCTCTGCTAATTTTATTGCAAAGAAAGAACCTGTCCAACACTGAACTGCAGGCGGGTAAAGAGAATGACCAGCTGGTGAACACCGTGGAGCTATTAGCTTGTAAAGAGCCAGATATTTCCATCCGGGAGTCGGGAGCAAAACCAGAGCTACAAGAAGAATGAATACTCGACTTACGTCTACCAAGTGAACACTAACCTGACTACAATATTTTAATGATGGTTCGTGCCTGGTTAATGTGTTTTATAAGGTGACATGTAAGTTTGTGGGCCTATTCCCCCATGTTGCCAAAAAGCCCAGGTGTGTGGGCAGTCCCCAAGTAGTAAGAGCAACAAAAAGGTGTGTGTGTGTGCAGCGTTTGGTGGTTTAGTGACTCAGCACTTTGAGAACAGCAACAAATATCACTGAAACATGGGCTCAAAAAATTGTGTAATGAAAGAAAACTATAGGTCCTATCGAAAATACAGTATCTCTTCCCTATCAGCGGCAAGAGGTTTCAACAAACTTTTGACCGCCTTTATGTCAAGATATTCCAAAAAATGAAGGAAGACTGGCGAGGAGGACATTATCAGAGGTGATTTTTACATTGGAGTCTATCGGAGAGTGAGGCTGTCTGTGGAATGCACCACTTTATGCAAAAACCGTTTATCCTATCACAATAACCAGGGCATATTCGAATTCCTCACAATTTTCTCTACCTTTGTCATGTAAAACATGTGTGAAAGCTTAAGGTTGGCAGAATAAAAGCAGGAAAGTTATGAAAAACACACAGATTCAGCGCGGGGGTCACGTGAACCTAGAGTGAGGATATAGAAATGAATAGCCACACTGGAAATGAATGGAGTGGAACATAAAATGTAAACGGCGATTATGCAAAAACCATAAAAGATATCAAAAAGCCGTTTACAAGGTCAATAGCTGAACATGTCTTGAGTTGATTATAGTTTAAATGGTGTTTCTAGCTGAAAGTATGCTAAAGGTTCAAAGAGGCCAAATATTTGAAGCGTCTGCCATTGACTTCCATTATAACCATATGTTGCAAAATGCTGAATATTGTACAAAACATAACATATATCAAAAAGCTGTTTATAGTACAAATAGCAGAGGACTTACTGAATATGTTACAGGTTGAATGGTGTTTCTAGCTGAAAGCATGCCAAAGCTGTAAAGGCTGGAAGAGGGGGAACATTCTCCCATTGACTACCATTATAAATATGTCTTGTAAAAAGCTGATTTTATTAAAAAAGTATAAATGTTGCAAAAAGGTTGAATTCACAGCATAATGTCCTTAGAATGCTGAACAGTTTGATAGTTTAATGGTTTTTCTAGCTGAAAGAATGCTGGAGTTATTCAGCACAAAAACATACGGAAGAATAATATACTGTATAAAGAACAGGATAACAGTGTGGATGCTGCTGACTTAGCATCCACACAATTATATCTGATCTGAAGCTTGAATATTATTTAGTTGCCCCATGTGTTTCTGTATGTGTTGCTGCATTAGTAGGCCCAATAATCAAAAGCAAATTTTGGCAGTACACCGATTCTGAGAGCCACAACCCAAGCATCCTCGCACCTGCAGGGGCAATTAATTCCTATTGAGATCAAGATCAAAGATTTTTATTGTCAATTCACTATATGTGCAGGACATACAGGAAATCAAAATAGTGTTTCTCTTTCACCTAGTGTTGAATGTCATACCATTTAGAAAACTAAAATAGAATAAAAGTAGAGTAAAAATAGACTAAAAAGAATATGAAAACTAAGTCAAAGTGATTAAGATAAAAACTAAATGACTAACAATGTCATAGTAATGGGAATAAAAGTAGCTCATGTGTGCTAGGTTAGGTTTTATCACCTCTCGAGTTCGAGCTGTCCCCAACAATGTCAAATTATGGCCAAGTATTGCCTCTTTATCTGGATACTAGGAACTGGCTCACCATACAACATCCTGACCAGCACTCAATACTACACGGTAACCACTAGGGCGTCTCAGAACAGATGTTTGGAACAAGTGTACAGCCTCTTCATTCTGCTTTTCCTTTTTGTTTTGAACTGCTGTGTTGTTCCATTTCTTCTGGCTGTAGCGTTAGCACTTTTTCACTCTCGGCTCAACAGTGAGAATAAACACAGCTGTGGTAGAGGAGGAGATGCGGAACATGTTCAGATCCTTCGGTGCTGTGACCTCCTTCTTTTGCCTGCAACTTTTCCATGACGTTTCCCTAGACGTTCTGTCAGCCTGGACCAGCGGCCAAGTTGAGGTAAACTGACACAGGAGGAGGAGCTGCTCCTGACATAAATAACTCTGACTGGGACTTCTAGCAGCGGTTTTCTCTTTCTTGAACAGCGCATCATTGCACGCAATCTGTTCCTGTATTTCAGACACTATGTGACGACACAGGTGACACTTGCAGTGCTCTGTTAGC